ATATATATATAAATAAATGGAAGTAAGGTAACATATAGCTTGCTCAGGCTAGCTAGCTGGCAGGACGGTTAGCTAGGTTCAACAGATCCAGGAAGGGGCTTTTCTTTGTGGAGGTTGAATGCTCTTCCTGTGTTGTCTGAGTCAGGACAGATTAATTTGTGCTTCTAAAGTGAACGTAGTACAAAATGACAAAAACACAGAAAATTCAAAACGCTGGGTCAAATGACCCAGGACCATGACAGAATAGTTATCTGTCTCTATATGTTACCCTGTAAATGTAGTGCTGCAGGACATGTATACATGTTTCTATACTTGATTCTAACCTAATGCTAATGCCTAATGCTAAGTCTCTTTTACACTGCTGGAACTGTAACTATTAGAACACAGAATAAAAATACCTCTTCAGTCAAAAGAATTATTTTCACTTTGATCTGCCAACAAACTAAAGCAATTTTCATTTATTAGGCAACAGGACAGAAATCTTTAATATTTAAATGCATACAGGAAAAAAAAAATCACAGCTCTAATCAGCAGCCCCACTTTAGAAATAAACAACAACATATGGATTTATAGATTTTTAATTCCCATTTGATCATCATATGATCGTGTGTGATTGATGCCGAGGTCACTCATAGGGATCATTTTGTGGTCACGTGACTTGTAAAATGCCACTTTTTACAGACACAAATCCCAGGTAAACAGAAAAAGCAACATGTTAACTATTAACTATATTTTCTGTATTGGATGGAGGTATGATACCAAAAAGAATTTGTGACATGTTTATTTTTATTTAACTTTTATTTGATATTAACCACTTGAGATAACAACTGTTAGATAAAGTTATTCTGCATCCAAGTCGATCACCAATGACAACTAACAATAAAGTTTGTGTTTATTTATTGGAAACTCATTATCAACTCAAAATTCATGGTAAAAAATATTTTTACTCAGTGGCATATTGGTCCACTATTAAGATGTGAGGGTCTTTGATCTTCTATGGTTGGCTAGAACCCCGCCCCCCCCCCCAATGTGGGGCATAAAGGGTGTTGTCACTGGTTATAAAAGGCACAAGCGTTCCGTTTGACTCCAGTGACAAACCTAAGCAACTCATTCAGAAATCCTTGAATAGCTTCAGCTCGATTTGAATTTGATGAAATGGTTGTATAACCCAGCCTAACACTGATGGAACCATTTATTTTGGTCCTGAGCTTAACTGTTTGTCATGGTGACGGTGACTGAAGGGGACACAAATACGCGCTTAAACACGAATGTCAAGGCAGTGGTGAACTAGTGCCAGCCTCCATGCTACTGACATATCAGTGGCAGGATCTGCTTGCAAGTGCAAATGTGGGTCATTTTCATATTATTCTCCTGTTCTGAGTTCAGTTCTGATGTGTGATATCCTGAGATCCTTTCTGAAAGATCCACGGTCAGGTCTGCTGGGGCCTCAAAGGAGCGTTAATCTCACACACAATAGCCTCGTTAGCATTTGACCATTGATGACATCACTTCATGCTAGATGGCTGAGAGGTGATAGTTAAAGAGTTATGCATTTGTGGGTGCTTTGAGTGGTTGTGGTTTTTGTGAAAGACTGAATGGATGTACTGAAGTGCATGTGCAGGGAGTAAAGAGTTACACCAGTGGCTCTGCAGGCACTTCATCTACTTTGCAGTAAGTCTATAGAGTAATAGGCTCGTGTTTTCAAGTCTGCTTACTTAAATCCTGTGGGAAAATAATAATGGGGCTTAATGTCCAGTGGGGGTTTTTTCCCCGTAGAGAGACAAACATAAAGGATTAAGAAAAAAAAGCAGACATTCAGCTGAGTAGAAATAAATCGAGGCCTAAAACGAACACGCATTTTGCTTTGCAATTTCCTGTTGAGAGTCGAATTAAAACGTAATTCTTAAATTCCTTGCAGACCAACCTCATATGCAAATGTAGCAGACCCACCTGAAACACTATTCCTTGGTTCAACAAGCAACATGCTAGAACAGAGTGCAACAATGTTTGCGCACTTAAAGGGCTCTGATTCCAAAATTTAATTTTCCGTTCATTTTCTCCATTGAAATTTCAGAAAATCCTCATATACAGAGTTTTAATCCTTGAAACATACCAACCAAATTCTTGGTGACTAATGACCATAAAAAGATTTGATAGGGAAAATGAAGGAAAACTAAATAAAATCCAA